GGAAGCACTTTCCAGAGAGAAGGAATCACTTTTGACTGAGAGGGAAGCACTTTTAAAAGAAAGAGAATTATGGGCAAAAGAAAAGGAAATGCTGAACAAGGAGAAGGATGAAGCTAGCAAAGAGAAGCAAGCTATCTCCAAACAGTTGGAGGATCTTCGTCAGGAGAAGAAATCCACAGGAGACACCCCTGCTGACCCAGCAGCGAGAGAAAAGGATGCCAGGATACAGATCTTGGAAAATACTGTGGGTAGACTGAGAGAAGATACCAAGAAAGAAAAAGGTAGGCGTATGAACTATGAGAAAGTTATTACTACAAAAGCTGGTATTGTTAAACAGGAAAAAGAGAAGTTCGAAAATGAATGGGGCAAGCATCAGGAGGCACTGAAGAAGATTTCAGATGAGCTTGAAAAGCTCAAAAATGCGAAGGACAGCCTTCCCGAGGGTACTTCAGTGGTACAGCTTTTATCTGGAACTACCTTGGATGATATGGCCTCTGCATATGTGTTGGCTGTTGAAAACTTTGAAAGGGAAGCCAATTCAGTCCTCAATGACATACGGAACCAGGCTGTTGTTAGTAACTCTTCAGCCACAGATCCAGTTCCATCTGTAGCTGGTAGCTCTCAGGCAGTCCCTGCTGAAGGTTCGAGTACGATTTCATCCATGGTTTCTGCAACTTGCCCACCCACAAAAGTAACTGAAGAAAGAGAGAAGAGAGTTATGAAAACCATGGTTGAAACACGTAAAACTGGGAGGAAGTTGGTTAGACCTCGACTTCTTAAATCTGAAGATGCCCAGCGTGATGTTGAAATGTCAGAGTTGGATGGCAAGAATGTGGGGAAGCCTAGCTTGGTAGCGCAGCCCTCTGTCTCTTTGTCCAGTGAACCTCTTGTTCGGAAACGCCCTGCTTCTCCATCTCCTTCTGAGCTGGAAGAGCAATCATCTTTGCCTGGAGATTCTAGTTCTGATTTGCCTGCGCCTGCTCTTAAAAAGTCCAAGGGCTTAGAACCTGTTCAAGAGGATGTTCAAGCAACCTCTGCTGCTCTTGATAATGTTGAAGTTGTTCCAACAGTTGAAGAATTACTTGATGCAGCTGCTTTCTTGCCTCAAGATTCTATTGAGGAAGCTTCTGATTTTGGTAAGGATGATTTTGAACAATTTCAAGGACTTGGAAAGGAGCCTGGAGAATCTAATCATACAGATGAGGAAAAGTTAGCAGATGCACAGAATGATTGTGAAATCGTTGATGAAGAGCATGCTGAGAAGCCAAGTGAGGCTGATCTAATGTTAGATGATTCATCAAATTTGCAGGCTGACCAGGATTTTAATCAGCAGATGGCTGATGTTGCTGACAGAGAAGAAGGAGAAATGCTCCCTGAAGGTTCTGACCTTGATGGTGGAGATGACACAGCTACTGTGGAAATTCAAGATGCATCTGAAGTTCAGCCTGATCATTTAACTGCAGCTTCAATCCCATCTCCAGCTCCAAATGATGATGATCCTGTAGCTGCTGTCAATGCAGAAGTCAATGAAACAAATTCTCCTGAGATTTCAAATGCTAATGATCAGACTGAAGAAGGGGAACTAGCTGAAGATGTTGCTGACGATTCAAATAAATCTACTGAAGGCAACGATCAAATTGCTGGGGATGCTGAACTTACCAGTGAACCTAGTTTATGTGTTGCTGAAGGTAATCCGAGTTCTGTAGAATCTTCTATTTCCAGAGAAGATAGTCCCAATGTGATGGCTAGTCAGGAAGCAACTCAGCCTTCACATATGAGAGCAAGCTCAACAACTATAATGATATCTGAAAGAGCTAAGGAGCGGGCTGCAGCTAGGCTTGGACGTTCCCCTGCACCAGATTCCACTCCTCCTGCTGCGAGGAGAGGGCGAGTGCCAACGACACGAAGTCGAGGTGCCCGAGGTAGCCGTGGTGGTGGGCGTAGGCCAAGTTCTGGTGATCAAAGCTAAAACTATAAGCTACCTTATTTCTTGCCACCCCAACTGTAAGTTTTCATCTCCTTGCTGCTTGTAATTTTTCTACTCCTTCCAAAGTTCAATTTCATGTTCATTTAGGAATTAGGATTGTTGGTACTGGCTACTTTGTCTTGTGAACAGCTATCACCTAAGCATACAATTAATGTTTCATCAAAGGAGGACTAATGAAAAAGCCTAGAATAATGTTTAAAGGGGGTAATTTGACTTTTGAGCTGTTGGTTTCATTAGGAAGTGGATTTAATTTTAGTAAAAACATTCCTTTCTCTCTAGTGATTGTAATTCTTGCTTTGTTTTGTTTGGTAGTAACGTAGCAGTAATTGGCTCCAATTAAATTATGGCATCATAGTTTCAAGGTTTAACAAATTTGAGTTTAACACAGTCCCAAATTCTATATGATGTTTAACTGATGAAAGTAAATTGTAGTATTAAAATAGGCTAGTCTTGTCCCAGTTCTTGTTCTTAAAGGGCATTTAATTTTGTTGCATTCTTCCTTTTCATTGGGTGTCAGATACACAGCCTGTATCCGAGCTTTCCTTGTGAAGACTAAGCCTGTGTCCCTACTCATCTTTTGGAGTTTTCTTGTATTTAAAAGAATTAAATACAGATTTGAGTATGTCGTTGGTAGAAATTTCCATATCTAACCCACCAGTGGTAGCTTGCAGTCAGACATTGTGATACAGTCCACCCACCACATCAACATTCTCTCTTCAATTGGCTTAATTTTGTATGCAAATTAAGAACCGTAGAAACAAAGATATTATTTTATGTTAAAAAGGTGTAAATTACTGCCTAAAATTCCTACTTATTTTGTTTTGGAGAGAATTTTCCAGTTTCTTAGTCCCTGACAGTGTAATTAGTTTGTAAACTATTACTTATGTTATTCAATTATACTCTGCAATCCTAGCTGATTTCATTTGTGAGTGAAATGCTACAAAGTACTATGGTCGAATAAAAATTGTTATTGTTTTCCGAACACTTGATTTGCAATTTAATTTAGCATTTCAATTCCTGGATTTGAATTGAAGAAGTTCAACTTCAACTCACAAAACATTATCTTAGTATTTTCTGATCTTAGAACTAGAATGATACTCTCTCTCTCTTGTTTTTTTTTTTTTTTTTTTTTTTTATTTTTTTTTTTTTTTTTAAATTTTTTATTAATTTATTTTTTATTTGATGGCTAATAATCGTCATGTATGATATTTGTGAGGTTTGTTAGTATAAAGTTAGGAACTGAAACACATCTTGTGCTTGCATCTGATCCCTTTTAAATATTGACATGTCTTGCAAAATATGTTGGGTAGATGAAATCACTAAAAGTTGATTTTTTTGGAAATTAACATTGGTGAAGGGTGTATGTATTGTTTCTGTGATAACAGTGAAAGTAACAAATCTGCTCTTGAATGGGAGGTGTAAAAATCATTCTATTTTATTTAATTACATATTGCATCTCTCTGTTTTTTTTTTTTTTTTTTTTTTTTTTTTTTTTTTGGTGAGATCTTTGTAAAACGGGACTATGTTGGGTTTAACATTATCTTATGCTTTTTTTCCAATGTTTGCTGTTGACAGGTGCAAGTTTGAGTTGATGCAATCAAAGAGTATAGGGGAAGGAGAGCTGTAAAGGAGATTCATTTGCTTTGAAGGTAGCTTTAATCCCTCCTACGGTGATTATTTTAATATGATGAAAGTTCCGTATCTCAGTAATATGCTCACACTATTCTCTTTGTACCCACAGGAAGAAAGATGTACAAAGATATTCAAGCAAGATCCATGGCTTTTGAACAGATTCGTGGATTTACTTGTGTGTAGATGTAGTGAGTAGGCAACAAGGACTTGTCGCAGCTTACAACTACAAGAACATCAAGCACCATTTTTCTTAGTCTTTCTCTACTTTGCTCGACTTTTGTTTCGGGTTCTAAGAATGCTTTTTGAATGGCAAGTCAAACTTGGCACAAAGAGTTCATAGAACTTATTTGCACATTTTGTTGCTCTGTAACATATCTAGCCAAATATTATGTTGCATGGTACTGATTATTCTTAAGATAAATGGGGAAGGGTATAATTTATGGATTTATGCTTAGGTGATTAGTTTCAGGCACCATAGACTAGAATTGTGTAAGTATCAATATAATTTTGGTAGATTTTCTGCTATTATGTTGAAGTCATGGTATTTTAAAAAATTGATTAGCTTTAAATTAAAAATTCGGAGTTATAAAGCTTGTGAATGTGTGCAAGTTATTAGTGTCGATACTGTCAACCAAGGACAACTTCAAAATTTAACAATGCCGTATTTTTGAAAAATTGTAAAAAGCTTTTAGGATGTAGTAAACACTTTAACGAAGTCTTCCAACTTCCAAGTAAACGAACTTGGTGAAGCAGCATGATCCAAGACAAGTATGGACATGGGGAAAACTGCAAACTTTAAGACGACGAGCACCTCATGTGTAATTAGGTTGCATAAGTTAAAGCTTGGTTTATGTATTAAGTTTATGATGCAAATTTTATATGCAAGCTTTGAAAACTGGTTATTTTTCATATACAAGTTAAAGCCAATTTAAGTAGTGGGTGAGTTTCTTCAGTGATCAATATCTGGGGTATCAATGCCAGCCAATACTTTGGATAACAAAAGTTGCAGCATATTCTAGCAGATCCAAATTATGTAATCATTGGCTTTTAGCTAATTTGTTTAATATTATTTTAAAGATGAAATATCAAATGTCATATAACTAGATCATAAAATTTCAAAAACCATGTAAATATAGTCTAGTTGCAGATCATGGTCTTAGGCTCTTAAGTAGCTCAAATTCATGACATGAGTTCTCAAGAGAACCTTTTCCATTTTTTTGAGAGAAAATTTTCCATCTTTCTTGCCTTTTAACATCTTGACTATTACACTTGTTAATTCTGAACTTTGTACATTAATAATTCTAATATTTAGCATCTATTGCTATATATAAAAAAAACACAAACAACAAATAGAGCAAAAATTTAGATGCAACACTAAACGGAAGTATAATATAAGTAAATTATATGAATAGTTATTTGGTAGTGTCAGCACAATATGAAATGCAACTTTACAATTCCTTGGCTAAATGTAAGAGGCTTACCGTATGATTATATCTATCTATTAATTTGGAGAAATGAACTTGAGAAAATGTAGCTAGTTCGATTTAATCAGATGTGAAGAAAAGGAAAATAACATTAACCTAAATGGGAACTTAAGACCAAAATACTACAAAAATAGCAGATTTACTACATAAAAAGTTGGACGGATAAAAAATTATAACCATTAAAGTCTACAGTATTTTAAGAAAAATAATTATAATAAAAAGTTTAGAATCTTAACAAAATTGCCATATGAAGCATGACGCGCACATCAAAAGCAACATCTAAGGACAAGCGCGGGGCATCAACACATTCACTGATTGATATGTCCACATTGCAGATATTCTGCAAAATGTTACAAACCTTCGAAAAAACTTCCAAAAGAACTGCTTGAAGCTTTCCCGTTGCCAGTACCAGTGTTCTTCCTCTTAGTACCTGAAAGAAAACGGAAGCGAAAGGATGCACTTTCAACAATCACCAATCTATGTTGCATATGTGGACGTGGGAGAACGATAACCAGTAAAATTGAACAGACATGGATATATTGACTTAATGTTTACACAAGAAACAAAGCAATTTTGTTAATCAAGTCAGTGGATTACAATAAATACACATCAAACAATCAATATTAAAAAAGAAAAAGAGAAATTGACGTATGAACATGTAGTACGTGTTATTTTCAGCTAGAAGCTTTTATCAAAGTTCAAATAATCAATAAAACAATAAAGTTTAGGTATTTATGTATTACTTCTCAATCTGTGTTGGCAAGTGCAGGTTCACGTCATCCTGGCTGAAAACCAAGGTAGAATTTATTTGTGTGTTTTTAAAGTTATGCGCGTTTCAGCAAATCAAACACTGCCCGACCATGCAGCTGCCTTTGGGTGTCTTATGTTCATAGCTATCAATATATCAGATCTCAATATACCAATTCCCAGATACGTGGTACCAAGAGCGAAAAAACTATAATCTAGTTTGTTTAAGGATGTAATCCCATACATGTAATACTCAAGATGAAATAATACAGCTATGCAGTTTCAACAAATTTAACAAAAAAGTGCAGAAAAAAAAAAGTTTGTTATATGTTCGAGTATACTTTACCTCTGGAAGCATTTGCAAGATCAGAATCAACATCCATGCCATCACTATCACTATCACTATTACTGTCTGCAGCTGTATCATTTCTTGTCACCGTGCTAGGACCTTGTAGTAACTCATCCATATCCCACAGCTACAATGTAAAACTAAATGACTTGACAGAAAACACAAAAACTAAAGGTAGAAACTGTAAATCAACTGTGTTATGATTCTTACCTTCTAAGTATGATAAAATAAATATTTAAATTTGAAACAAAGCTATATTCTATGCACTTGAAGTTTTATTTAACAAGATATTTGTCAGACATGCAGGTCATGCACAAGGAGAGCAAAATTCATATTGTTTTATTTGGGAGGGTAAAGGGGAAAAGTTTAAACAAATCTCATTTTGTTTTGTCTTTTTTAAAAATCTGACTTTTCAATGGTGATGCACAAGTTCCATCTCCTGAGACCAATAACTTAAGACCAACAACTTATACCATATAAAGGAAGAATAAAACGCATAGCTACCACATGCATGCAGGTGACACAAGATGTTGACAAGGGAAGAGTTCAAACCTTTAATGTGTTATCATGAGATATACTTCCAAGAAGCTTCTTATCATGTGAAAAAGCTACAAAATCAAAAACAAATCATAAGTTAGTCATATAAGAGTTATTCAGAATTGGATACAACAAATTTCAAGAGATCTGAAACTAATGTGCAAACCATACTCAGTCCTTGTAATCAATTAGGCGGTGTTTGTTTAGCATAATATTGGTTTGAGGTATGGTTTTAGAATGGGTGAAATCCATACCTAGTGTTTGTTTATGGAAATTGCAATTTCTAAACCATACTTCAAATCCACAAGGTATGGGGTTAAAACCAAGGAAAGGCGGGTATGGCTCATACCATACCTTCAGGAAATAAAACAAAATATGTTAATCTCCAAACAAAACCAAACACATGGTATTAAGAATCAAGTTCTAACCATGTATCACCCTGGTTTTATTCTTGATTCCAATCCCAAACTACTTTGCAAACCAAACGCCCCTTTATTCTTTCTGTCTAGAATCAATAATCACATATACTAGTTTGGGATATCCAAAAAGAAATGTTACATTTCTACAAGATGTATAGATGTCAAAAATACCCCCACTTCAAGAAGGGCATTCTTAGTGGCACCCAATGCAGAGAATGCAACTATTAATTATGAATATACATGAGTACATGACAATTTTTTTTCATGAAAAGGTATTATATCAGATAATTTTTTTTGGTTCAATTATATTTAAATATATATGCTCTAACTTAAGTAACTATAAGAGGTATCTAGCTTCTTGATGATCACAGAGGTAGCATACCTAGACGCTCAACTGGATACTCTGAGTGCTCAGCAATGGGTTGAATGATTCTGTTGGGCAATATGCCTACCAAACTGTAATAAATCAAAGTCAATACGTAAAAATGAAAAGTTATTGCAGTATAATGCAGAAGAAAAAATCTTCATGTCATGCCATGCCATAACTTTCGTAGAGGTGAGTCCAAACAAAAAACCTATCATATACCTGATGAGCCCATTAGATGATCCAGTAATGAGTCTGTCTTCATCATACTAACATCAGGTAAAAGGACAAAAAATTAGCGTGAAACAGGCCAAAGTAGAAGAACAGAAATGAAAGGTAAATTTGCAATGCTTATTCACCTTCAAGAGAGCATCTACTGAGTTAGGGCTCAGATCAACAAATCGATCACTGTACACACACGTACACAAGTTTAAGATAAGGAAATAAACCATGATTGAAAAAGCATTCTTTATCTTAGAGCTTAGATGGGAAAGCATGAAGAGGAGACACTACGAGAGGGAATCCATATCCATGTCTATTTTTTTGAAGGTACCATAAATATGAACCTATATGTTAATAGTCTTAAAATAGTTTATAACATCTACAATAAAACCTGAACCATCAAGCATGAGAAAGCATACCTGCAATCTTTGAAGAATCCCCATGAATATAGCAACAAAGTCCCACTTTGTGTCCCACATATAACTTTCCTGCCATTCTGAGAAAATAGGCTCACAATTTAGAGTAGAAACATAGAAAATCAGGTAATAAATCATGCACATCCCCATTTCACCCAAGCTTCATCCTGGTCATGGATAGATTGCCCAGGTTGGGGTTCCTAAGCAGTGACAATTGCCCTATGAAGACTCGCTTTACATGTAGGTCATGCACACAGGTGGAAGAACTACATGTGTATATGCCTTGAAATGGCTTACAATTAAGTGCTTAGAGGTCTTATGAAGGTGTTTGAACCCACTTAAGTAAAACACAATATCTGCTGCTTGTAATTACCACCATGATTTCTCAATCCCCACTTCTTCTTTAGTTATTCTTTTACCTTCCACTGTCTTTCCCCTAGCCAGCTAGAGTGTAAGACACATAAAGCTTATGTCAAGGTTTGAGACCACCGTACTTGGAGTTGTTAGCATGTTGATAATGGTTTGTCAATAGAAACTCTTCTACAATTTCAGATCATATGTAATCTTAAGACAAGTTACTAGATGCAACCTCCACAATACTACAGAAGCATGAACACGATCAAGCATACATAAATCAATAAAAATAAAGGAACATAACAAATACCTTCATTATGACTACAGACAGTGGTTCATCCTCGCAAAATTCGGACTGTGCTTGGACCTTCCATTCATCAACAAACATAGAGCACAAGAATCAAACTCAAGCAAAATCAAACAGCACGTTAGAAGTATAAACTGAGCATCAGCACTTGAACAAGACACAAGTACCTTATTACTCCGGATACTGCATACAGACAGAGTACCATCTCCGCTAGAAAACCAAAAGAAACCATGTCAGAAAATAGAGATACACAACATAAAGATATACAACACAATTTTACACCTATGAGGAAAAGATCTATTCACTTGGTAACTGTTCCTTTCAGCCTTTACATCCCCAACACACCAATTTTCTAGCCAAGTATTTTCTAATGCAAGATATGCTCATAAGTTTCATATCATAGTATTGATTAAATTGAGCAGCTAGAGTAGCTAATTCCTATAAACATCAATTATACTCCGACCCAACCTGCAAGCTACGTATAACCCTAGATGCAGGGGCTAGGGAACCCCTTTATTGTAGTATCAATTATTATAATTTATACAAATATAGAACTAAAGATTTTTAGGGTCAAAGCAATGCATGGAAAAACGTGCATAATGATACAAGTAGCAGAACATCAAACAACAAAATGTCACACTTCCCAACTATGTCAAAGTAGATGGAGAAGTTTACTACCTTGTAGCCAAAAGTCTCAACGAATCTGATGCAAAAGTCATATCTGATATGTATTCCTCATGAACTTGAAAAGTGTGACAGCAAGATTGTTGCCTGGTATCCCATAACTATGTACAGAAAAATGATGAAAAGAAATGTGATAAGGATGAAGCCAAAGAAAACATCAATAAAGCAACGTACTTGTCGATAAATTGGTAGGGATAATAAATATGTATATCTAGGAAGCAACAAAAAAGTGTGCTGGATCAGTTAGCACATTTTTGGTTCCTCCGGAAGCACTTTCCAACAGAAACGACACTTATGAGTCTTAAGACACACACAGACAGGTCCTGGGTTGGAATAGCATGACAGAGTGTCCAATATGTACTAAGTGAGTGTAACACAAAGCAAAAAACTATTTTCCTTTGATAATAACATTTGTCCCCTAAGCAGTCTTTTATATCAAGAGATTAACTTACCAATTTAAACATATAAACTTGGTCTTTTAAATATCACTAAAGAATGATGGATTAGCAGGATATATTAGATTTCTTAGATTTCGACCAATTAGAACCCTACAGCTCATTCGGAAGACCATTGTAAATATTGGAAAATAAAATCACCTTCCTTTCCCTTCTCTTCCTATTCCTTCTCTTCCCTTCCCTTCCCTTCCTTTCCCTTCCTTTCTCTTCTTTTCCTTTACTAATAATGAGCCAAACAAAGCCTAAAAGATGTGCACCAAGACTCAAGATGACTATAAATAAAAAAAGAACAATTGATTGCTGCTGTAAAGCAGATGAACATTTGCTTCAACATCTTATGTGTACTGGGCTTCTAGTCACAACAACAAGTCAACGATTCTTTAACTTTGGGTTAATTTATCAACTTCAATCGAACATGCATCATGAAACAAAAATATCCTGTCATATGAGGATACAACATACTATATAAGATAATAAGGGAAAGTGAATTTGAACCTTGACACATCCTGAATCATCCCCCGAGGCAATGGTTGCTTCAGTCAAATTGATTATACTATTGACTGCATCTCTGCATTATGTTTGATTTCAAAAATAAGAACCGTAGCAATATCCTTTCTCTTAAGAGTACACATCAAAATCAGTACCATTTTAAATTTTGGAATTTGGAAAGTAGTGCTTTAGTTTGGGATATAAAAACATGCAAAAAAGTCCAATAACTTTAAGTAGATGACTCACGTGTGAGCATTTTTAAGGTGAGCAATCTTTGCTCCAGTTTCAACATCAGTGGCAAGAATTGAGCAATCTGCGGATCCCGTCACAATTGCTGCACCATCAATACAACCAATTTAAAGGCCATTCATTGTGATGCGGGGAGGAAGAGGGGGGGGGGAGGAAGGGGTGAGGGGCGAAGGATTTAATTACCGCGTCCCTCATTGATAAACCGGGTAGTTCTACAAGACTTCTTGTGGGCACGAACATTCAGCAAACTGCAAGAGTAGCAATCAATATCATACTACAACATTTACCTTTTCTTAAGGAAAAAAAATAACAAGGATAACCCCCCCCCCCCACCTCTTCTTTTTTTCATACTAGGCTAGAATTACAACACTCAAAACAACATATCACACTCAAGAAATTCACGAAATTCTACCGTTGTGGTTCTGCTTCAGCAGCATAACGATACCTACACAAAATGGAACCACAAAGTGAGTGGACAAAACACTGATCACAAACACCAGCAAAGAAATGGAGCCTAGGGAAAATTACTTACAATAGGAGGTAACCATTGATTAATCCAGTTGCAACAAGAGAATCCGACGGATGAAAGTCTACGTCAAAAGGGTGGTCCCCTAATTTTATCTCCATACCTTCCTTCTCAATGAATTGACAATTATGCTATGTATCAGTTTCCTATACAAATAATAATTTGTCAAAAAAACCCTTAAGAGTTAAGGACCTTTCCTAGTCTAGTAGCTCAAAATCTTAAATTATGCTAACAGAACAGCATCATATCGAATCCTTGCAATCTTCAAACTAATTCAAACTAAATAAAAAAAAAACCAGAAACATAAATAACAAGAATATTAATCAATTACAAACAAAATTATAAAAAAAAAAAAAAACAAAATTTTGCAAATTCAATTCAATCCATCAAAGTAAGCATGAAAAATAATGTTAAATTTTTCTCGCTAAAAGAACATGAATTGCAAGATTCTAGCACTCGTAATAGTCTTTCATAACTTGATCAATTATAAAGAATATTGCAATAATTGACCTAAGAAGAACCCTAATTGAGTATACTGAAAATTAAGTAAAGCGAATAGCAGTGAATTGTGAAATTGATATTTGATAATTGAAAAGAAAGTAAAGAAATTAAGGACTCATGTTAACAGAATAATGTATCCAGGACTCCAAGAGGAAATTAGTGGAGCATCCCATTAGTTCTCTAATGGTAAGAAAAAGTTCATAAAGAATGACACACCACATGACTTTTAGAAGGTTGCATGTAAGATTATTATGCTACCTTTTCCTGGGCGGGAGAGGGGTCTAAAAGGACAATAACATGAATAAACATTCTTATTCAGCCAGAGGTGAACGAACTAGCAGAAAAATCTATACTCTGCACTAATGAAGAATCTGAAATTTTAGTTACTCCGGCCACTTTTGACTTCCATCTCATGGTTTCCGTTATCTTGCAGCTGTTTGATTTATTCTACTCCAAACTACGAACTTACCCCAAAATTGAAGAGCTAATGTGTCATCAATATTGAATAACATCTAGCTAGCTTCAAGCTCTAGTGCAGTGTAATTCTAAAACATTTTATGCAAGGAGCCACTTTTGAATTTCTTCGAATGGTTTTCACTATCTTGCCAACATTTGAGTTTTTCTACTTTCAAGTTTCAACTATGAAGTATGAACTTGCCCCAATATCAAAATGCTTGTGCTTCATCAAGATTGAATAGCTTCAAGCTCACTCTAAGCTCAATATTACAAATTTTGGCAACATTTTACGCAAAGAGGTTAACGCCTTATAAAAACTGGACATTTACTATTACTTAATAGCTTTTCATTTCTGCCAAAAAGATAAATACACATCTAATGGTATTTAGTTCATATTCACTGGTAGAAACATGAGCTTACGCCTCACGGTATTTTAGAGCTTTTCCCACCAACAGGTGACTTCCAATTACAAGAACCCAATCCCAGTAAACCAATCCATGAATCAAAAACAAAATCATTCCCATTTTCCAGTCATAATTTATCCTCTAGTAATCGAATCAATTCAAACACTCAGTCGTTAAACGGGAATTATTTTTGAATTGAAAATTAAGTGAACCAAACAAATTAATTAAATCAGTGAACCAAACAAAGGCCTGCAACGCAATAGTACCATATTTGACTCAATTATCAAAATTAGGCTCGAATTAATCGCATAAAATTCTCTAATATCAAAGTAAATTGAACATATAAAAATTCAAGGTACAAAATCAATAGTTATAATGTTTTATAACTTGAGTAATTATATAACTAAGAGTTCAATAGTCCACCTTAGATGAACCCTAAATTGACTATACTTAAATTGACAACAGTATGAAAGTAAACCCTATATTACGAAAATTGATACGAAATATTCAATGATTTAAAGATAAAACCTTACCTTAGAAGATGTATCAATGGAGGAAAGAAAGCTCAGAAGCTGCTTCAATGCAGAATTTATAGTACGCTTAAAATGTGGGAGAGAGAGCAAAGGGGTGCAGCGTAAAAGAAAAGAGGAGTGTGTTTTTTAATTTTTTTTTTTTTCCAAGGTCACCGTGACCTAAGGTGAGTCCGTCACGGTCTCACGGAATATAATACTACCTTATTTTCTTTTTAGTTGATACATTTTCCTTTTTACAATGTTTTTTTAGTTGACATGTTTTTTTTGGGTAAATTTTTTACTCCCTCCATTTTTTTATTTTTTTATTTGCATCACTTGAGATTGTACGGAGTTTTAGAAGAGCTGTATAATATTGTGAGTGGGTGAATAAATTATTATGGTAAAAGTAATTTGGGGACATGAAAGTGAAAGTATATGAGAGAGAGTAGTGGGAACCATGAGAGAGAAATGACAAGTTGATTTGAGTGGGATTTAAGGTAAGAGAGAGAAATAATAAAATATAGTTTAAAGTTAAGAAATTTTGACTTTTACCACAAAAAAAATCAAAAAATTGTTTTTTACCACCAAAACTTCTAAAACTTTTATTTTACCACCAAAAAAAATTTCTAAAAATTGTTTTTTACCACCAAACGTCAAGAAAACAATTTTGTGCGCAAAAGATGTTTTTCATAGGTTTAGGGGGGCACTTTGGCCCTTCGAGTCTAATTTGAGGTCAAAATTGACAAAAAATGATCGGAGATGCCTCGTTTTGTGTGTTCACGCAAATCGAGATTTTTTTAAACACGCAAAACGAGGCATTTTCGATCATTTTTTGTTAATTCTGACCTCAAATTGATTCCGTAGACCTAACGTGCCCCCCAAAACCCCTAAAGAGCCTGTGTTTGACACGAAAATCGAAGAATTTAGAAAATTCCGTTAGATTTTTGACGACAGGTGGTAAAAAATAACTTTTAATTTTTTATATGGTGGTAAAATAAAAGTTTTAGAAGTTTTGGTGGTAAAAACCATTTTTTTTGATTTTTTTTGGTGGTAAAACTAAAAAAAATCTTACTACATATAAAAGTGATGCAAATTAAAAAAAAAAAAAACAATCATAAATGGAAAGTGATGCAAATAAAAAAATACCTTGCATTTATAAGGTATTCCACTTGCTTTAATTTTTCATTCTCTCTCACTATCTCTCCTCTCCTTAATATATATATCTAAATCAAACGCGTCAACTAAATAGAAACGGAGGAAGTACGTAATATGGAGCCTTCGTTTTAAAATATTTGCTTCACTTTTTATTTCTGAACATTTTAAAATACTTGTTCCATTTTTATAATTGGAAAGCTACATTTATACTACTAGTTTTTTTGGATCACTTTTTATTTCTGAACATTTTAAAATACTTGTTCCATTTTTATAATAATTGGAAAGCTACATTTATACTACTAGTTTTTTTGGAGTTCCACCTGGTTCATCCTTTAGGCTAATTCGGATTCGGGGATCAGTTATGGGTGGTTAGATTTTAGTCCCCTCTCAATTATTGTTGTGGGGGATCGAACACGGATGTCTCCTCCCTACCAAGTATAGTCTCAATAATCCGTGGTTTATACACACGAGTGTACAATGCTCATCGTACACTCGGATAAATAAAAAAAGGCGGAAAGAACATCCTGTGTTTCATAAAGAACATACATGTATTTGACAAATAACATGTTTGTATTTGACAAAAACATGCATTACCAAAGAACATAAAGATATAATAAAAAGAACGAGATAAAAAACTTAATAAAATTTTCTAAAAAATTACACATTATTAACGGAAAAAATTTAGAGGTGATAAAAAATCGAGTAGGACCGGGACATATCATAATTTCTCGTGCCCAAACCCGTAGAAAAGTAGCGGGTTTTGAGCTTTTTTCGAACCCGGTTCGAGTTTTAACTAAAAATGCATTTTTAGGTTTGCCCAAACCCACCCTATTTCGGGCCGGATCGGGTCGGGAAGCAAGTCATGCCAATGTTGATCAACTCTTAAAAAATCCTTACCAAAAATATCATTTCTCCAAAAAATAGTTTTCTATCTCTCCAAAAAAAATTCGACTTTCCATAATAATTTTTTTTTTACTCTAATATTATTTTCAATTAAAAATAATTTAAGATTTCAATATCAAATTTCAAAATAACATATGTTAAAAGAACATAATTTATATTGTAAAGTACATATAGTTAATACCTAAATAACACACTAGTCAAACTCAAAGAATATATGATAATAAAAGTAATTTAAATATGACATATGATAATAAAAATAGAATTTGGACGTCATTACGACCTTAAAGAACATACATGCCAAATTCAAAGAACATACACGCCAAATTCAAAGAACATACTTTGTATTATTAAACCCAAAAAACATATATGTTTATCAACATATGTTAAATGACATAATTATAATGTAAATAACGTATAATTTTACTCAAAGAACACACTGATCACACTCAAATAACATATTAAAGGTATGTTCTTTATCACACTATATGTTCTTTCTGCCTTTTTTTGTTTACCCGCATGGTGCACCCGGGTGTATTATCTAATTTTCATAGTCTCAATCACCACTACACCAACAGTCAATTAGTACATTTATACTACTAATAGTTATATCACTTATATGTGAATGGCCACGGTGAGAGGGGGACTTTCCGCTGGGGCCATTTGAGGCTAGACCACCGTAAATTATTTAATATACTTAGATAATCTATATTTACTCATAAAATATTGGGATATAGTGATTAGTTTGGAGCAAGAACTAAAATATTTAAATTCCGGGCCCTCTAATATTTTCGGCCAAGATCCGCCACGGGCCACGGTCACCTTGTGGTTATTTATTTTATTTTTGGTCTTTCAAAAAACAAGGCTTTAACTTCTACAACTTGTAATATTTTATGTTTAAATATATATATATATTTTTATTTTGCAATTATATATATTTGATAGACATCATAGAAAGATAATAATTGTCCATATATTATGGATATATTTTGCAGTTTAGTTTATAACTAGATGTTATTCAATTATCATATCATATAACTAATATATAAAGCTAAACTTTTAGCCAGGTCACGAAATAGCGACACTTGGCATTCCAACTTTTCGCCAAGTGTCGTACCACCTTGAATAGATTTAAATAAACTTCATATGATAAAAACGTCAAGTGTCGCACCACCTTGGATAGATTTCATAAGATAAAAAAATTAGGTAAGAATTTTACTTTCAATCAAATTTGGATAGAATTTTAGAATAAGATTATTAGTTTAGAGTTATTTCTTCCATAAAATACCAAATAATAAATTTATAATTGGGCCACAAGATAACATCATTTCGTGTTTTAATTTTTCGCCAAGTATCAATATAAATTGACTTTGTAGCCAAAATAGTTAATTTAGAATTCTATCTATTTTTAATTAAATTGAATCATAATAGTATAATTTTATCTTAAAAGTCTATAAACTATCCGAGCATCGCCGGGGCACAAATCTAGTAACTAATAAATTAAATCTAAAACCTTTTCTTATATTCACTTGTTTTTCATAGAGTCCTAATCACCCATAACTAATCTCAAAATCCGAATTAGCCCTAAAGATGAACCGGGTGGAATACCAAAAAAAAACTTGTTTTTCATAGAGTAGCTATATTTATCTTTGCAGTGTTGATATTGTAGCTCTATATAATACGTATTAATCAAGAGAGTTTTCACAATCTAATTTTATAGCAGAATTCGATCAATTCGAACATGGATGAAGATAAAAACATATTGATGAAGAAATTGAGGTATGATGAGATAAATGCAATCTTTGAAACCGAGATTTTGTCACATCTACCTTTGAACACTCTCAAAAATTGCAAGTATGTTTCTAAATCATGGTCGAATATCATCAAATCCCAATATTTTTTCCGTCTTCATCTCCAAAAATCCGTTTTACAAAACCGGTTAAATCTAATACTCTTCAATGCCACCACCAGAATCATCGAAACGTTCGAGGCTGACGCGCTGCTCCCGTCCCATGGGACACCTAAACCCTACAAAGTTACCCTTGATCAAAATTTCAACATCCTTGGTTCATGTAACGGATTGCTTTGTTTCGGGTTTGATAAGATTCATCATGGTTCGGAAACCAAACTTATTGTGTTAAACCCGGCCACTCGTGTTTGGAAGAGTGTTCGTGTTTTACCCGTGCCAAATCAAGTCCAAAATCTTAAAGCTCATATAAATAGCAGAGGATTTGGTTTTACATGTGATATTAAGACCATGGATTACAAGTTTGTACTTATTGTGGACCGCGAAATACATGTTTATAGTTTAAAATCCGAAGCTTGGAAGAGGATTGGGGACTATTCTTGCACATTTCCGTTAAGGGAACCGCAAAGGAATAAGTGCATACAAGCAAAAGGTGTTGCTACCGACAATGCTTTGCATTGGTTTTATGGCAGCCAGGGTAGGATCAAAGGTATCTTTAGCCTCGATCTCACGGATAACAAGCAGTATGAAACGCCGATTCCTGAGCTTTATGGATTACCAAAGCTAGTACCTTTAAAAGGATGTTTACATGTGGTATTCACCAAGTATGTTACAATGTCGGGAGCATATCCTGCAAATATGCTAGAGATAGACATTTGGCGTATGGAAAAGTATGGCGGTTGGGAGGATTCTTGGGTTCGATTGTTCAAGGTTCAATTTGATGATGTTATATTCCACGCGACTGCAGTTTGTTTCAAGGAAGGAGGCCGCAAAGTCTTGCTTGAGCTGCATCCTGTCGATATGGAAGTGTTGAGATATGTTTGGTATGATTTAGTCACCAAAGAACGTGTCAGTGAGGTTCTTGAGTACTCGGCCAAGATAAAAGCCGAGTCATGCTTTGAGAGTTTAATAGATCCAAATTTTCTGAAGTTTTAGAGCCTGAGATTGTACTATATATGAGAGTAGTTGGGTGAACTTCCTAACAACTTGTTAGGAGATTTCAGGTCTCTTCTTTTTTATTCAGTTAGCTGGTCTAGATTTATAATCTAGCAATAGCTTTACATTGTTATGTTTTTTATTGAAGCGTTATACTTTGTTTAAGATTACAGCAAATTTTTGTTTTACTTTGGTTTAAATTTTTTTCAAGTATGCAAGTTCATCCTACTCTCTTGATCAAATTTGAGAATGGCTGGCTAGCTAGCTTGATGTCAATAGATTTGGCCTTGAAGAATTCCGAAAAAAAAAAGCTTCCTTACATATAGCTACCACATATTATCAGAATTGCACAAACATTATACGTGCAGCAACCAGATGGTTTAAAGGTGTATGTACGTTCATCCTGTCTCATTTAGGCATTTAGGGCGTAAAATAAGTCTGTTACCTAAAACTGCAGAGAAAATAATTAGTCGTCATAGCTTTGAGGCCTCTGGCCGTTCATTGACAAAAATGCTCAAGGACATAAGGGAAACTTCCTGAAGGATAAGGTAGTCCATGTACAACTTCTACTAAATGGATTTAACATTGAAAAACTTGCAAAACAGATTATGTGGATTGCTGTTATTAACCCCCTAACTTCTAATACTAGTTATTCATCACTATATATTTCATTTGATTGCAATAAACATTTCACACCAAGTAGCCTACTACTCCAAGTCAAACTAATTCTTCAAGTCCATCAAACGTAAATCATACTAAGTACTAAGTAACAATGTTTCTACCTATGTAACGAACAAGGTTACTTAGACTACTCAAATTACATCAAGTAGATGGATTACACCAGATATTCAAGGTTAACAGGAATAGTTAATTATAGCCAACAGAATATTACTTTGTGTAGCATGCTCAAAGGAGTCGAGCCAGATATCATTACAAGTTTAGTATAAGTTCAGCGTCCAATTTGTGTCATACAAAAGTTAATATTGGATCAAATTAAGATCCTATAATAGCAGGTCAGGAGGTTCTCCTCCACACCCTCAAAAGTAATATATATTTAATTCTCTGATTGAACGAAAAATGCTGTGTCTTAGCCTGTTATCGACCTTATTCTGCCTATATATAATGTCCAGCTTATAAGCTATAATGTAACTAGCAACATTGCTTTTCTAATTTTTATTTATTTTTTTTTATTTTTTTTGGGTACCCGAAACACAGGAAAAAACTTAAGGCAATATAATAGATGCCCTGCAATCCATCATAACTCAAAATTTTTAACTATCAATGATGATTCCTGAAGTACATTCGAAATAGCTGCTAGACAGGACTACAGCTCATTCGCGCACCATGAATAACAACCAAACTAACTGATGTTAATTAGTGTTGGCAATGGAATACATTGATCCTGCAGGCTGCAGCAACATATAGACGATGTACTTTTAAAACACTTTTTCATACTTTGTAATAATGTTAAGTCATAATTAAAAGCTTAGAACAGAGAATTACACAAGTATATATGACGAAACAGCTATAAAAATGTACAATAAGTCTAAAATTCTAATTATATCCCACCTTTATTAAAGAAATAGATAACCAATTCTACCTTATCTATGAGACTACATATTAAAAATAAGGGATGATCAGCTTAAAAACATAAAAGGACTGCAACGATGCACGAGCAATTTTATTATCAATGCATAATGTATGGCGGGTGACAAATAATGTCCTTCAAGATCACCTTCAATTGAATGGCATGTTGCATACTAATTAGTAGTTTGTTGAGAAACTTGTGGTAATTCAAACTGTGCGTGCCCCATACATCCAACACCGCCTTTTCTAATAATCTAAAGCTCCGTTTTGAGCCACAAAATTGCATCATTGGACTTCCTTTCCAATAAAAATACCTTAGTTTAGGCGCATGTATCCTGAAATAATGCTCTTCTATCATTGCAGAGCAGCACAAGAACTTGGCTCGATCGATAATTAGTGTTTGAAGTTGTTCACACACGATAGTGATCTCACAAGTAGCATCCTCGAATTGGAAATTCTTGAAGGTCAGACGTTCAAGAGATGCACAAGTAATCTTTAAACGAAAAACTCCATCATATTTCGAGTTTTCTGCCCCAATGATCTCGATTTCTTGGAGACTCGGATTGTCTAGGATTATTGCTTGATTATTACTATACGCGCAATGTTCAAAGTGTAGCACAAGCTTCATAAGACTAGGACAACTCGAATTTATCCACTCTCCTAGCTTATGAGTGTCGAGTAATTCGACCTCGATATAACGTAACACCAAAGTTTGAATATTTGGTAAAAATAAATTTGGTAATGCTTTGTAACAATTTAAGGCCCTTCCTTGTTTACCTCTTTGCCAAGTTAATTTCAATATTGTGTAAGGTGTATCTTGATGGGTACTTGTGAACAAATTTTCGACGAATTCACGAAAATCGAGAGCTGAGGAAGAAGGATGATGAAGATACGCCCCGAACGTTAAAACATTAGTAGAAAAGCAAAGTTTGTTTAGGTTCTTTGACGTGATCATCATCTTACTCATCTCGCCTTGTTCGAAAAACGAATATATATGATGAATTAGATGTTCCGGAAGATTTCCAAGCCTATCAGCAAATTTATTTCCCATTGAAATTAAATTTGTTTGAATAATGGTATGAAGAAAAGGTAGAGATTTTGATTGTTTATTACGAATTTGATTTAAACACAAAAGAATTTAATGGTTTTAACTAATTATGAGGGTTAGATACTTGGGTTTAATATTGCTATGGAATTAACTAGGTTAAATCGGTTTTTTAACCTTTGTCACGGAGTATCAATTTAATTTTTTTTTTTTTTTATTTTATCTCAAATCAAGCTACTTAAAAATATATATATTTATATATATATATATATATATATATATATTTATCTTTTTTAATACATATTATATAGTTTTCGCATTTTTTTCTTCCAAATATGATAATTTTTCATTCACCAACTATGTTAAGTTGAAAAATATATAGTTTGCGTATATATATATATATTTTTTTATCAATTTTTAAAAACTTTATTTTTTTTTAAAAAAAATACTAAGGACACACCATAAGGAATAAAAATATACATGAATTTATAAGATAATATATCTTTTCAAAAAAAAAAAATTATGAATATTACATATTCATATCATACTAGCTTAAGCTGATGGTTAAGGCCAGAAATATGTTTTATACTCTATCAGAAAGCTCAATAAATAAATAAATAAATAAATCGTTTATACTAATGTTTTAAAAGTTATAATATACATTGATATCTCAATATAAACCCTATTACCCAAACCATATCCAAAAGTTGCAAGCCAAAAGAAATCACACAATGATTCCCACGGATGTGATCTGATAGTGGAGATACTAGTCCGTCTTCCTGTTAAATCCCTTCTACGATTCAAAGTTGTCTCGAAATCATGGCTGCCACTCCTTTCCAGTCCATTCTTTGTCAATTACTACCTCAAACATTCCCTCCAATTTCAATCCAATTCTCTTGTCGTTCTAATGGGGCCAATGCAAACTTGTAACTTATATACTCTTGGAGTTACCGAGCCAAGCTTCGATCTCATCAAACTCGAAACCGATAAATCGAGCAATAGTAAGAGCACAATGTACACTGTTGGCAGTTGCCATGGGATGATTTGTGTCCAAGATTTTAATTCTGGTGTCATCACTGTATATAACCCGTCGACGCGATCTCTCCTTGGAAGGTTGGAAAATGAAAGTGTTAAATTGTGTAGAACCTCAAAGCTTGAATTACAATGATGATGGCCATAGCCAATAAATAATACATCGTTTCCCTAACCCGATAGAATTAGGAAATAATCAAAAGATCCCAAAAAGATATTATGCTAGGCATAAAATATATACTAGGCATAAATTATGGAAACTAAATATATCCTAATAATTCCCAAAATATATCCTCCAACACCCCCCTTAAGTTGGAGCATGGGGATTGTAAATGCCCAACTTGGAAAGAAGATGATCAAACTGAGATTTCCCAAGCTCCTTAGTGAAAATATCTGCAAGTTGCTCCTTAGTGGAAACATAGGAAGGGGCAATTAAGCCCTCTGTAATAACATCACGAACAATGTGACAATCAATCTCAATGTGTTTCGTACGCTCATGAAAAACTGGATTTCGAGCTATATGTAAAGCAGATTGATTATCACAAAACAACTTGATCACCTTAGGATGTTGGACACCCAAACTCAAAAGCAATGCCTTCAACCATTTCAACTCATGTGTGGTTGAAGCCATGCACCGATACTCAGCCTTAGAATAAGAGAAAGATATTGTGGGTTGCTTCTTGGTTTTCCACGAAATAGGAGATTTACCAAGAAAAACTAGCCACCCAGTCAACGAACGACGAGTAAGAGGACACGCCGCCCAATATGAATCACACCAACCCTGCAAAGTCAGGTCACTATCTGCACTCAACAGAATACCTTGTCCCGTAGTACCCTTTAAATAACGAACCACCCTTAGAGCTGCTTCCCAATGCTCAATCTGAGGTTCATGCATAAACTGAGAAAGAATATGAACAGAATATGCCAAATCCGGTCTAGTCACCGAGAGATAAATCAACCGCCCCTTTAGTCTACGATAAGACTCAGGATCCTCAAGTAACTTACCACTAGCAAGACTAAGCTTGTGGTTCTGCTCAATCGGAAAACCACTTGGTTTCGCACCCAATAACCCTGCTTCAGAAACAATATCCAAGGTGTATTTTCGTTGACACAAAAACAAACCTGATTTACTACGAGCAACTTCAATGCCCAAAAAGTATTTCAAAGGACCAAGGTCCTTCATCTTGAAACAATCACTAAGATAAGCTTTGAACATAGTTAATGCAGCGGAATCATTCCCAGAAATAATAAGATCATCAACATAAACTAAGACATTAATCTGAACATTGCCTTTAGTGTATGTGAAAAGAGAATAATCAGAGTAAGATTGAATAAAACTGCACCCTTTCAAAGCTGTAGTGAGTTTTTCAAACCAACATCTCGGAGCTTGTTTCAACCCATACAAAGACTTTATCAAACGACACACCAAACCTGAATCCGAGCTCTCAAAACCTGGAGGTAATTTCATGTACACCTCCTCTTCTAGATCACCATGTAGGAAAGCATTATGAACATCCATCTGCTGAATCTCCCAGTTTTTTGAAACGGCTATAGCAAGAAAATCACGGACAGTAGTCGTTTTTGCAACCGGGGCAAAGGTCTCACCATAATCAATGCCTTCTCGTTGATGATTACCAAAAACAACCAATCGAGACTTAAGACGCTCAACATCACCATTAGACAAAAATTTCGTCTTGTACACCCATTGACAACCTAGAGCTTTCTTACCGGGAGTAAGATGCTCCAATGTCCAAGTCCCATTATCTTCCAAAGCCCTTATTTCTTCTTTCATAGACCGTCGCCACTCTTCGGATTTCATCGCTGCTTTAAAGGATTTTGGATCCTTTCCCAGAACAACAGCTGCAAGAAACTTGCGATAATTCACAGAAAACATGTCACAATTTATATAGTGTGCTACAGGATAAGGAGTACCTGAGGGATGCTTTGGAGACGATGTATTAGGCGATGCTTGAGATGGACTTTGAGCAAGAATAGTATGTGTCACATAATCTCGTAACTTGACTGAGGGTATTTTCTCCCTCATTCCACGACCCAATTCTATAGCATTTGAATCAACAGGTTTTGGTTGAGAAATTGGTTGGTCACATTCGATGACGGGTGAAGATGCTTGTTGTATGTTTTCGGTGACTGATGACATAGCAGTGGGGTCCGCACCCCCCCTGCGGCCAACAACCATTTGCTGCGGGGTGCCTGCGGTGCCAACTGCCAGGTCGTGGAGTTGCTTCTCTTGAGTGGGTTGTTGCTGCCCTGCTGGCTGAACTGTGGGGTGTGACGCATCACCCACTCCCCCCCTTTCTTCTTCATTAATGTTCTCACCCTCAACCATGCTCCTAACATGTTGAGGGTCATCATTCTCATCAATATACTCCGCAAAATCATAGTCGACAATATCATGCAAAGGCACAATATTTTCTGGTACTATATTTGAAGAAGCCGGGTCGAGAAAAGGAAACACATCTTCAAAAAATTTTACATCACGAGAGAAAAAATTCTTTCGAATCAAGATCAAAGAGATTCCACCCTTTCTTCCCAAAAGGATACCCCAAGAAAATACACTTACGACTCCTACTTGCGAACTTATCCCCCTTTGTTTTTTGATTGTGTGCAAAACATAGACACCCAAAAGTACGAATGGAATCATATGAGGGACAAGTAGTAAAAAGAATTTCATAAGGGGTTTTATTGTGTAGCAGAGGGGAGGGAGTTCGATTAATTAAATGAACGGCCGCGAGAACACTCTCCCCCCAAAAATAAATTGGTAAATTGGCTTGAAATCTCAAAGCTCTTGCCATTCAAGATATGTTTGTGTTTTCTCTCAACCCGCCCATTTTATTGTGGAGTTCCAACACAAGATGTTTGAAACAAAATGCCAGTGGCGCCAGTGGCATTAAAAAAATCACGCAAACAATCAAATTCTGTCCCATTATCACTTTGAACTATTTTAATTGTCTGAGAAAATTGTCTATCAACCATGGCGACAAACGACATAAACATACGAAACACCTCGGTTTTATCAATGAGTAAATAAACCCAAACCGCACGGGAAAAATCATCCACAATTGTCAAAAAATAACAGGCACCACAAGAAGAAGGGTGTCTATATGGACCCCATAAATCACAATGAACCTTTTCAAAAATTCTAGAAGTCTTATTCTCACTTACAGGAAATTTGGTCTCTGGCATGTTTAGCACGAAAGCACACCTCACATGCTTTATTCAAATCACCCTTACAATGACGTACTGGAGGGAGAAGCTTCACCACTTTTTCTGACGGATGTCCCATCCATTTATGCCATAACTCCAAGGTAGAAGAAGCCGCATTCACTGAAACTTGTTGCACCGACTCTACTTCATCGAAGTAGAAAAGTCCATCTCGCCTAATACTCGTTCCAATCAAGCCCCCCGACTGATCTTGTATAGCACACATAGAAGAGTTAAATTGAACAATGCAATGCATATCATTAATCAATTGCGATATTGAAATTAAGTTACAACTCAATTCCGGAACAAACAACACATTTTTAAGAATTATTTTGGTAGACAAATGGACCGAACCCTCTTTTGTGGCCACAACTGATTTGCCATTCGGAAGACCAACCGGACAAAACGAGACATCATGAATGTCAAATAACCACACATCATCACAAGTGACATGTCTAGAAGCCCCTGTGTCTATAATCCACATTCTATTGTCAAACGAACCATTATTCAACCAATCATCATTACTTTTTGTATTACCAAGTAAACTTGCTAAGGCATTCCATTGTTCTGCCGAAAATATCTTAGAAAATCCACCATTGATAAGAGTGTCCGAAGTTCCAACTCCGCAACCCCCAATCACGGTGGAAATGGTAGAATTTGATGGCGGTGGTAATAAAGTATTATCACCGACCATGGTTTTTTGGTTTTAATTAATCTGAGCGATTGATACCATGTTAAATTGTGTAGAACCTCAAATCTTGAATTACAATGATGATGGCCATAGCCAATAAATAATACATCTTTTCCTAACCCGATAGAATTAGGAAATAATCAAAAGACCCCAAAAAGATATTATGCTAGGCATAAAATATATACTAGGCATAAATTATGGAAACTAAATATATCCTAATAATTCCCAAAATATATCCTCCAATAGAAAGTAATAAGCAGTATTGTGTTGGGTTCGGATATGATAGTGTAATAAGATATTAGCTGTCATCGTTTGTGAGTCTTTAACCTATACAAATTCCCTTGATGATTTGTGTTTAAGTGAAAATACAGATGTTAAGTTATATAGTATTAGAAGTGGATCTTGGAAGAGCATTAAATCAAGATTTAAGTACACTAGTAGGTTTCAAAATCGATGTGGTAAGTACTTAAATGGTGCCTTGCATTGGCTATTAATTCCGGAACACAAATCAGAAACACTCACAACAATTGCATTTAAACTTAACAAGAAAAAAGTTCGTTTGATGCCCTTTGGGCCAAATGACTCATGGCCGACTTGCCTTAATTGGAGGCTTGGGCCTTGACCTTGGAATATTGGATCGTTTAATGACTAGGCCCAATTAGATAAATTGGACCCAAACACAAAGCATATATATAACAAATTCTATTTTTTTTTTTTTTTTTTTTTTTGAGGAAACAAATTTCTAAATTTTAACTGGACTTAATTAACAGAAAATAAACTTTTAATTTTATTCATACTGAATATAAAACAAATTTGCAGTACATAGCTGAGAGTTCAACGGTTGAACAAAACATATATAAAAACCAACAACACAAAATAAATTTAAAGGGGCCTTATTTCATCCCAAGCTAGCCATGTGTACAAAGAAATTGGGCCAAATCCAGAGTCACATTAGTAAGCCTAGAATGCTCAATCAAGGATTCAGGCAGGTCAAAACGGCTTCGAATATGGGTTTTGCAGTATTACCAATGGAGCCACTAATGAATCCTCCTTCTTCGTAGGCCTTGTGCACCAATTTCCCATCACCCAAAAGGTTGTTGAGAGCATACCAAGCTCCAGTGTTCTCCAAATCATAGTGCCCTGCCTCCCGAATTTCTACGTACACCTGCAATGGCAAACAATCAAAGAAATCAATGGTATAATAATTACATACACTGGCAAATTTTGGACCAAAATGTATACTTTCTTACAGTATAGTCCATACTCCTTCCGTCCCAGAATAACTAATACGTTGAATTTTTTTTTCACTATTCATATGTTAACTTCGAAAATTTGTGTGGAAGGGAATATATGCGTTCACTATTTTGTCTGGACCTTATATGTTTAAAGTGGTGTAAAAAAACCTTAAAAGTTTATTTTGTTGTTTGGGCGACTTTGAGATCAGAATCCGACAATAATTGACTTTTTTCTCTAACCTCTCATATGACCTTAAAAAATGACCCCCTTTTCTTTTCTTTTTTTTTTTTTTATTCCATGATTTCCTTTAAATTTCTTTATTTTGATTTGTGTCATTTGGGGATTACAAGAGAGAAGGAGGAATTGGAGAGAAATCGTGGAAAAAAAGAAAAGGGTCGTTTTTATGGTCATGTGAGAGGGCAACGTCGAAAAAAAAAAAAAAGTCAATTATTGTCGTATTCCGACCTCAAGATCTCCCCAAACAACAAAATAAACTTATAAGGTCTTTTTAGATCACTTTAAAGTTTAAACATATAAGATCCTTCCAAACAAAATAATAAACATATATATCCCTATCAAACAAACTTTTCCGTTAACTTTGACTAATGTATAGTTTTCATATTTTACAAAAAAAAATTGGCAATAAATGTACAATATAGTGATATAAAATGGAGGATATATACCTTGTTATAGGCACCTTGGGTTGTACTATCAAAACCCAGGAACCAATGTCGTTCTTCCCCTTGATTGTTAAGAGCAGAGTAAACAATTCCAGCTCTAGATTCTCTATCATCGTTACCATAGTATTGTCCATGGAGGAATGCACCCCATTGGCCATTCGCGATGATCACTGGGTAAGCAGATTCGCAAAGACGTCCATGCCAGTCATGAGTGACAACGTAAGTCATATTATCACCGGTTGCGTTGTACACCAGACACATTGTGCTCACATAATCGGCCCCAAATCGAGACTGCAACTTCTCCACAAAGTTACGAGCATTCGCAGCCTTGCCTTCCGCGTTCACCTTCTCGAGTGCAACCTTTGCCAAGTCTTTCTGGCCGATTGAGTTACTGCCTTTGTATTCAGGCATCTCCCTCAACATTGCCATTGTCACTGGACTTCCAAATACGGCAGACCCCATTATATTCGTTACTTTTCGAACCTGCAGGTATTATTATAGTAATAAGTTAGGTCCCGTGCCAGGTAATTTTCAATAACTGAATTTAAAACATGACAAAATCAAGAAATGACTAAAATTTCTTTGTTGATTTAATATTCACATTTCATTATAATGTATTATATAATCATTTTGTAATAAACCTATGTAGTACATAATATGTCTTTTCAAAAAAATAGTCCATATGTCACAAAAATATGTTAAGAATATTATTTTTATTTTTTCTTGCTTAACTTAATAGTTCCTTCGGTTCTATTTAGTTGATGCGTTTGATTTAGGCACATATATATATTAAGGAGAGGAGAGAGTCAGAGAGAATAAAAAAGCAAGTGGGATAGCTTGTAAATGCAAGGTAAAAAATTTACCCCAAAAGGTAACGTGTCAACTAAAAAAAAAAAAACTTTCTAAAAAGGAATACGTGTCAACTAAAAAGAAACTGAGGTAGTAGTTGTCAATATGTTGGTTTCGGAAAACTTTCTACGTATGGCATGTTCTCATTAACTGAACTCAGCTGAAATGAACTGACTGAGCTGAACTGAACTGAACTGAACTGAATTGAACTAAAATGGATATTTTATAAGAGAAGGAAATTAGGAGCTGAACTGAATTGAACTGAATTGAATTGAACTGAACTGAACTGAGCTGAGCTGAGCTGAGTTGAACTGAGCTGAGCTAAACTGAACTGAACTGAACTGAACTGAATTGAGCTGAACTCAACTGAACTGAACTGAATTAAGCTGAAATTCAACTGAACTGAATTTCAACGTATGAGAATAGGCCCGTAGTATTATATTTTATATGTAATTATTACTTATATGTAGAAAGATTTCTTCGTTATATATAATAATTTAATTTTTTTTTTTTAAAAAAAATTAGGAGATGACATGTGTAATTGCTAGTGTGTCTTTTAGTATATAGTTATTGATTGATTGATTGACGATGTAGATCATAATCAGAGGGGTTAAACTTACTCTATATAATTACTTTACTAATCAATGTAGGAACTCATTTTTATGTTTCTTATTAAGGATATGAATGCAATACTTTCCTCTATATATATATATATATTTATGTATATATATATATATATGTATATATATATATATGTATATATATATATATATATATATATATATATATATATATATACTTTTCAAATGATTAATTTGTACTTTTCATTCTTATAAATTAGATTCACCTCAAATTATAACTAGAGCCGCCAAAAGATGACCCGATCCGAAATACCGACCCGAAACCAATTATTAACCGGTCCATCTGAACCCGAAAAAATGGTGACCCAAACCCGACTTGAAACCAACCCTAGACCCGAATTGACCCAAGTATGTGAGACCCAAATTCGAACATGAACTGACCTAGAGATGACCCGACCCGGATGTAACCCGTAAATTATTGACCTAAACCGAATCCAACTTAAACCGAAATTGACCCAAACCCGTCTTAACCCGTCAAAACCCAAATTTAACCCGACTTGTTACTAACCTGACTCGTTCCTAACCCTACCCGAATTTAACCCGACCTGTTACAAACCCGACCCAAAATCAACCAGACTTTTTATTGACCCGACCCAAATTCAACCCGACTTGTTATTGACCCGACCCGAATTTTACCCGACTTATAACTAGTACGACCCAAAAAATCTAACCTGATCTGTTACGAACCCGACTCGAAATTAACACGACTTGTTATTGACCCGACCTAAATTCATCCCAAATTGTTCCTGACCCGTTTTCAAATCACTTTAAATGTAATTTAGACTACCTTATTATTGTTGATCAAAACATTTTGTCTAGGGAGACCAAGTCGGTCCAACCAGCAAAAAAAAGGAGCATCATCCCCAAATTTAAGAGTTAAATATAGTATATATTTGTTGTATGGTCAAAGAAAATAATTATATACCTAAATTATAGACTATAGTTCCCTATTATGTGCCATATATATTATATACTACCTCCGGTCCAAATTACTCGCAACTTTGGGGTATTATTTGTGAGATATAAAATATTCCAAAGTTGCAAGTAATTTGGACCAGAGGTAGTACAAAGGAAATAATTAGCTTGATAAAAATGATAGTTACCTATTTATAATTAGTTGAACCCGAATATGACCCGACTTAGAAATGAATCGACCTGATTGTAACCCGCAAATTATTGATTTGAACATAACCCGACTTGAACCCGAGAATGACCCGAATTGGAAATAACCCAACCTGATTATAACCCGCAAATTATTGACTTGAACCGAACCTGACTTGAACCCGAGAATGACACGACTTGAAAATGACCCGACCTGATTATAACCCGCAAATTATTGACTTGAACTGAACCCGACTCAAACCCGAGAATGACCCGACCTGATTCCAACCCGCAAATTATTGACTTGAACCGAATCCGACTCTAACTCGAGAATTATCCTAACCTTTTTTAACCCATGAAAACCCGAATCAAACCCGACCTATTGTTTACCCGATCCAAATGTAACCCGACCTGTTATTAACCCGACCCAAACTCGACCCAAACCCGATAAGATGTATGACCTGACGTGACCCGACTCAAGCATGACCCAACCCGAACCCGACCCGCATAGGTTACGGCATTAACCCAAATTGACCTAACCCACTCTTATTCGACCCAAACCCAACCCGTTTAACCGAATCAACAACTCTAATTATAACCATTTGAATAATAACAATCCTGAAGGAGTAAACTAGTTTTAGGAGTAAAAATAAAAAAAATAAAAACCTCGTATAATTAACATGTTCCGTTACTGAATAACTAATTGAAACAGCAGCACAACCAAATGACCAATACTTTGAGAGATGATAAAAACTAAAGGGTTTTTCTAAGCTATACCCCCTAAGTTTTTTCGCCACGCATTTTCAAAGTTATAAGTTGTGCCCTCCGGCTCACGATATTTTATCAATAATACTATATATACCCTTTGAAAGTCATATCCGGTAACGAAAGTTAAGTTATTTTATCAACAATGGGGTCGTGGCGTTATTAATTTGACACGTGTCCCGTTCTAATAGGTTTCATACTTTTAAAAAAAAATTAAAATCAGAAAATAAAATAATAATAAAAAAAGGTTATTGTTAACGACGAAAGGTATTGTTAATAAAAATTAGTGAGGTTGAGGGTATAGCTTAGACGTTTGAAAAGACATGGACATAGCTTAGAAACCGAAGAAGTTTGGGGGCAATAACTTAGAAAAACCCAAAACTAAAAAGTGAAAAGTACTTTGAGACAATATATGCATATAGGAAGGCTCACAAAGGATAAATAATGTATACGATAATCTTACTAAATATTTAAGGTAGGATTCTTACCTGAAGAGTGACTAGCTAAGAGAAATTGATGAAGAAAATATGAGAGAAAGAATGATTTGATTAAGCTAATTGAGAAAGAGCTTATATGACGAGTGCATTGAGGGTGTGGCTTTCGGTTCTATTTATAGATGAATTTGGATCTGACCCTCTCTTTCTTCTGAACATTATTGTAATGTCAAATTGTCAACTGACCATTCTTAAAAATAACAAAAATTGTGACCTCGACATTTGTTCAGAAAGCAAGTAAAGAAATTTTGTCACAAAAAAATGGAGATTAAAATATTCTAATAGCGTGAGTCATCATCCAAGCTATGTTCTTTTCCTTTCTAATTAATTTTTTTATTTATATAAATATATCACTGGTAGCTTTAATAATAATAATAATTTTAGTTCAGTAAAAATAATTTCAGTTTAGTTAAAATCAGTAATTTTAAAGAAGAAATATAATAGAGAATCAGTAAATATAATTTCACTTTTGTAAAAGTAATTTAAGTTCAGCAAAATAATTTCAATTAAGTAAAATTAATTTCAATTTAGCATAAATAAGTTGAAGTGAATGAAATCTAAAAGTTTTTTTTTTTATATATATAAATCTCCAATAATTGATCATATAATATTACTCCTTAAACTTATTTTTTTTTTAGTCAATGTTGTAATATTTTTTTAAAAATTAACACTTAGCGGCCATTCAGGTATATACATCTCAAAAAATCATTATTGTAATAAAATAGAGTGGGTGGTTTATTTAATTAATCCATTTAACTTGATGCCATCAGCTGAAATCGTCATTAAATAGTTATTGTATGACGTTTACTTAACAGAGCACTAAATTAGTCACCGACTTGTTTGCAAACGAACAAATCTAGCCATTTTATATTCTGTCAAGGACTCAAGGTGAAAGGTTCACAACTTCACATTAATGCCTTTCATGACAAACAACTAACGCATTCACATTTGGATTTTTTTTTTTTTTTTTTTTTAATTTTTTTTTTACGAGGTCAACTTAATTACTTAGGCCCCATGAGGCCATGAACTAGGCTAAAAACAATACCAATACATACGTTGTCACTTGTCAAGGGGCACTATTAAAGCCTATGTTACTCGGACTATTTCATTTACCTCACATGTTGTATGTCGACATGACACATGTCGGACACCGACACCGACACTTGGACACTTCATTAACTAAAAACACAATTTTTTTCAAGAAAATGGGCGAGTCCGATGCTTGGACACCCGTGTCTAATTTGACACTTCATCCGAGTCCAAGTAACATAGACCAAAGCTACCAGTCCATTAGAGTTGCACATAAAAGCATAAGGTATTAGAATTACTAATGCTCCACAATGCACACATTCATATATATTAGATAAGTAGTAAATTTAGCCACATCCAAGAGTTTAACTATATCGAAAGGGGAAACTCGAACAGATGCTCTACAATGCACACAGTCATATATATTCAGGGGCGGATTTATTAAGGTGCACAGTGAGTCAGTTTTTACAGATTACAGATAGGCGATCTCTTTGTTGCTTCTACTTGAGATTATCCGTCTGTCAGTTTTTTAAAATATCAAAGAGATCGCCTATTCAAATATCAGATAAGTGTTCTCTTTGTTGCTGCTATTGCCACCACGTCATTAGAGACCTGTTATCTAGATAACAGGTCTCTTTTTGACAGAATTAGAATTATTTTTTGCGATGCTTTCATATTTCAATAAAGAGACCTGTTATATTTAATAACAGGTCTCTTAAGTTATCTAACTTTTTTTAATAATTCTTGTTTTTAAGTAAAAGATCATAAAGTTAGTTTAATGTAATAGTTTTATAGTATGTATTTTTATATCCTATTTTTGGATTGCAATCATTTTGGTGAAATATAATTTTTTTATATAATTTTTGGATTGAAACAAGTGATCAATTATTGATGGTGACTCATAAGTTCGAAAAATCCTAGATCCACCACTGTATATATTAGAAGCATACATAAGATTGAAACAGAAAAGTAACTAACAACCAACTCAACAGCAGTCACTCAGCATCATCATTTAACAAAAGGGTTAGAAAAGCAATTGCTAGATGTTTTTGGACAGCAGGCCTAGGTTCAAAATCTTCAAGAAGCTATTTCGTGTTCATGAAAACAGCAACCCTGCAAAAACACAGAAAAAATAGGAGAGCTTATAGGAAATAATGAACATGCTATTTGGCAACTTTAGTCCCCTATAAATCATCACTACACATGTATTAGCTTCGCGAAGTCAAGTGAGAGCAATTAGGTGTGTAATTAATGTCAATCAATCAAGCAAATAAACTTCTAATCTTATTGCCTCTGTCTTTCAGTGTCCTCAAACCTTCAGTTTGAAACAATTTAATAAGTGTTTGGGTCCAATTTAGTCCAATTGGGCCTAGGCATTAAATGATCCAATTAAAAGCCCAAGGTCAAGGTTCAACTCTCCAATTGTGCTAAAGTCAAAGATCAGCCCTCTCAGCAAGCCAATTGGGCTAAGGCCCAACTTCTCCATGTATGAAGAGGTATAAAAGCCTCAAGAGATACACATTCATTCATTTTTCACATATTCACATATTCTCATACATTCTCATATACTCTGATATATTCAAGCAAAGCCTCAAGCAACTAATTCTCTTGCATAGTGTTCTCTTTCTACACATTGTACTGACTTTAGCATCGGAGGGGCCTTCCTCGGCAACACCCCCGAGGCTAGTTTACGTGTGTTTACTGTGCAGGAAACCTTCGGCCCAACATTACTTGGACCGAATCTAGTCTTCTCCGTTTCAGCGGACCTTCGGCAAGGTCCCATTGTTTTCACCCGAAACAATTTGGCGCCGTCTGTGGGAAAGACTTTCAAAAATTTTTAAGCCAAATTTCTAACCAAGATCATCTTGCAATTATCTTAGTAGCAATGGCTAAGAACCGCAAGAGCAAAGGCCTCCGTCAAGGAGCGGGCGAAAAGCCTAAAACCCCTACACCATCACCCTCGCCGGACCGGAACTCTCCCAAGGGTGCCAGCTCGGGGGAGGATCATACAAGGAGGATTCCCTTTCTCCCGTAATTCATGACTCTCATTATAGGCCGAGTCACTCTCGGTCTAGCAGGGGTGAGTCCGATCATAGGACACATCCAGTGCCCCAAAGCCAACCATCGACTGTGCGCCCTCATTCCCATATTCGACCGAGGACCCCTTTGACGGGGCCCAGCTCGGAAGAGGTGGCAAGAGCGCTGGCAGTGCTCATGGAGGCGATGAGGGCACAAAATATGCCTCCACCTCGTGATCGAACTCCTCCGCATACCCGGCATCAGCGGAGGAAGCTAGACCATGATGGAGGGAAGCTTCCTTCCTTCCGGGAACTGGAAGAGTGGGAAGAGGATACCTGGAAGAATGAAAAAGAGAGGAAAAAGAACCCTCAATTTTTAAAAGGATCCTCATCCTCACGACCAGAAACGCATAAGAGCAGCAGCTCAGCTTCTCGACCAGAATCTACTCACCGAGAACCTGAGACTGTTCGCCGAAGCGTCCTCGACCGACTCGGCGGCAAGGAACCGAGCGTGCGCAGTCGCCTCTCGTTCCCTGCGGCCGAGGCCCAGACTTCCCAGCCAGGGACGAAAACCACTCCTACCTCTCTAAGAGGGCGGAGCGCGGTCCCTTCGGCCAGGATGAAGGGCAAGGCCGTTATGCTACCCGCCAGTTCGCCATTCGAGCAATGGATACTGGAAGAGCACGTGCCCACGGTTAAAATACCGTCGCACATCACATATGACGGGACCTCGGATCCGAAGGATCACGTGGCCTCGTATGAGACTCATATGCATCTTTGCCCCAGATCCGAAGCGACTTGGTGCAAATATTTCCCAACCACTCTCAAGGGGGTCGCGCAAGCGTGGATCTCCAAGGGAGTAAAGCAAGGCTCCATAACAGGGTGGGATGATCTGTCCTCCAAATTTAGGAGCAAGTTTTCCACGGCAAACCGCCGAGAGAAGACTACTGCAGAACTCATGAGTCTACAACAGGGGGAAACCGAAAGCCTCCGAGACTACCTGACCCGTTTCAGTAACGAGTCATCCAACGTCTCTCAGCTGGACCAGGGGCTAGCCGTTTTTGCAATGCAGAATGGCCTTCAGCCCGGGAAGTTCCTTGACTTCATGGTCATGCATACCTCGCAGACCTTGGAGGAAGCTCTGAATGCCTCGGATAAGTTCATCCGAGCCGAAGAATGGAACAAAGCGAAAACCCAACCTCAATTCGGGGGAGGGAAACAAAGACAAACACCCTTGTCTGAAGGCCAAGGCCATAAGGCAAAGGGAAAGTCAAAGGCCTCGGAGCAATCTTCGGCCAGCGACCCAAAGAAGGAAAAATCTGCCTCATACACAGGCAGATACGAGTCCTACACTCCGCTCTCTCTTCCACGCGCCAAAATTTACAGCGTGACGAAGGAGGAGCAGAGTTACCGAAAGACGAGACCACTCCCAGAGTGGTATCAGCGAAAAAATAAAAATCAGTGGTGCGAGTTCCACGAGTCTTCGGGACACAACACTGAGGAGTGTATCCAACTGAAGGACCAGATAGAGGACATGGTCCGGAAGGGATACTTGAAAAAATACATCGCGGATCACCGCAAGAAAAAAGAATTCGAGAAGTCAGCAAAGGACTCTCGGCAAGACCTCGACTTCCCCCGGAAGAACAGTAAAAAGCCGGAGGGGAAAATCCCTCCGATCAATGTTATCTCGGGAGGAATATACTCTCGGAGGGAGCACAAGCGACACCTCAGAGCTTTGACTCACCAGGTGAACAACGCTGACATTCAATCTCCCCAGTCGCCGGTGCCGAACATGACGTTCACAGCCGCCGACTGCCGGGGGATAACGTTCCCTCACGAGGATCCGTTGGTGATCATCGCCACGGTGGCCAACCACGACGTCAGTATGGTCCTTGTTGACGGTGGCAGCGAAGCAAACATTCTGTTCCGAAAGGCCTACAATCAAATCAAGCTGAAGCCCAAGCACCTTACGCCGGTACCCTACCCGGTATCCGGGTTCAACGGGGCTTCAACTTATCCAGATGGGAAGGTGACACTTCCTGTCACCATCGGCTGCGATGAG